TGCCTGTAGGAACTTCTATTGTTATCCTTAATTTCCCTGGCTAGCCTCATTTCCAAGAATAATTGAGGCTGACCACCTCTGGAGGTCATCTTGTCCATCTGCCTGCTCAGGGAAGGGCAGGCTACCCAGGACTGTGTCCAGATGGCTTTTGAAACTCTCCAAGGCTGGAGACTCCACAACTTCTCTGGACAACCTGTTCCAGTGCTCAGGCATCCTCACAGTGTGGTTGCTGATGATGTTCAAATGGAACCTCCTGTGTTGTCTCAATAGACGCCACTGAAAAGAGTCTGTCCTCTTTGCGCCCTCCTTTCAGCTATTTATGTACATAAGATATCCAGGAGTCTTTTCTTCCCCAGCCTAAGCTGCCCCAGCTCTCTGTCTTTCCTCTAATGATAGATTTGTTGCCCTCTGCTGGACCTGGTCCAGGAGTTCCATGTCTCTCGTATTGGGGAGCCCAACACTGGACACAACACTCCAGGCATGCCCTCACCCATGCTGAGTAGAGAGGCAGGATCACCTCCCATGATCTGCTGGCAACACTTCTAATGCAGCTGGGACACTGTTGGCCTCCTTTGTCCCAAGGGCATGTTTTTGGCTAATGTTCAGCATGGTGTTCTCAAGAAACTTGAGGTCCTTTTCTGCAAATCTGCTTTCCAGCTTAGAAAGAAACCCTAATGCTAAATGTTTTTACCAAAGCTAAGAGGGTCAGTTTCTCCTATGGTTCTGTTTATAATTCCACTTGCAGATAGAGCCAGGTTTCTTAATGATAATGGTAGTAGCTTTATAGTACTAAAAAATATTTTGCAACTACAGTGCAATTGCTTTAACAAAAATTTCTGAAAATCTGATGATTATTTTTTAGTCCTGTAGTCAAATAAAAATGTGCAAGATGAAATACTAATGAAAGAATGGTGATGTTTAGTATGAATGTAGGAGAGGGAAGATTTGCATAATGTTGAAACTAGGTTAAAATAAATGTAAAGAAACAAGATGCCTGCTTCCCCCTTTCCCCTGACATCTCTTCCCCTTTTTGTATGGGAAAAGTATTTTGTCAGAAAATTCTTAACCTTCATTCTCTTTTGGCTGGCTAATGGAAGAAAGAATGAATGTAATAACATTTAGTAGCTTTAACTGTACTGTTACTAAACATAAGAAATACCCCAAATTATCAAAATAATTTAATTTTTGCCCCCCCCAAAAAATCACAGTGATGAAATGACAGTTGTGTTCTCCCCCAGCCACCAGAGGCAGGATTGTTCCTGAGTCGCTGAGATGAAGGTCCCAGCCTGTCTTGGCCAGTGGCATGTGTCCTGGCCTTGAACAGCAGTTTGGTCATCCAGGTTGTAATAAGTCGGTCTGGGCCCAAGAGCATTACAAGAACATAAACACACAACTTTTGGAGGGAGGAGAGCCTTTAAAACCTGTTGTCAGATTTTAGTGCTTGGTGCTCTTAAAATAAGGCTGGTGGCAGGCAAGGACTGTAAGTCTTACACATTTCCTGTCCCATTACGGTTTGTAACCCTTTGATTTTGCTCCTAATGTTTTCTCAAGCTGGTTAGTTCACCCCACTCTAGCTTTTGATTTTGGTACAAGAATCATCTTCATTTGATAATGTTTTTAGAATGAAACTTAAAATTGCATCATATCAGGCTTAATAGGTACAGCGTTCATAAACATGCGGTACTCTTCAGTAGGTCTAGCAAGGAAAAAAACCTGTAGATAATATTTTTTTCTTACTCTTTTAACCTCCTTCATCCCAGTTTATAGCTTCCTGTAGTCACATGAGAATACTGTACTCTTTGTCTCCTTCCTTACCTGGGGCACTCAGACATTAGGTATGTCCCCATAGTTGTTAGGAATTGATCTTGGATTCCAGTGTCATTGTCTCCAGTCTCCCCTGGTGCTCAGCATTGACTTTTGGGAAGCAGCATGCCCCTATGGCCACAATACCATTTCCTGTAAACCTTGCTCTGCCTCAAGAGTTTCTGGTGGCCACAATGAAAAACAGGGAGTCTCAGGAAAGGCTGGCTGCAATACAGTAGCTTTGGGCCTGTTGTTGCAGTGCTGCTCTTCATGCTCCATTTCACATGCTTGTGGTAGCTCTAGTAAAAGGCTTTATAAGAGCAATGTTAAACTGACTGCCCTGTTTGGTTGGTTTTTCTTTTGTTCAGGTATTCCTGATAGCCTAATGATTTTAGCTGCTCCTGCCTGTTTAGCAGCTCTGTGTTAGGAAAGCACTGGAGCCTTGTCTGCTAAGCTACACCAGCAGTTTAGCAATTTGTTCTTAAGTTCCCAAGAATTGATGGGGCTATAATGCTTAGAGATACAGGACATCTGAGGGCTTTTGGTAGCACCAGTAGTGTGACAGGCAGATGCTGCTTTATTTGCAGAGGATTTTGGAAATGAAAATCATTTGCGAGTTCTGCCACTGCAATGTGGCTAATTGCAAACTAGCTTGTATTGTTACTAAAAAATAGCTATTACTGCTTATTGTGGAGTTCCCTGCAAATATTAAAAAGTAATATTATAAAGCAACTACCAACAGAAACATAAAACTGAGAAATCTCTTTTTTGGTTTTGGTGGTGTTACAAGTACAGTAATGAATTTGCCCAATTAATTTACAGGGTGGTTGTCTGGAAAAACGGTTCTGTTTCAGTTTAAGAGGTTATTAATTAAATATTACCTGTTGGAGAATTTGATTTTGGCTCTTGCACTAATGCAGATTTGATAGTAGTTAGTAAATCGTTTGAAAGGATAAATGCTGTTTAAAACAGTTTAGAATACATAGAAAGCAAAACACTAGACCAGATTAGGCATCTCAGTATAGAGAAGGGGAAAAACCCCAACACTGACAGAAAACTTTTGCTAAATGGAAGTAGCTAAAGCCACTGAGGTATGATAATGCATCCTTCATCTTTGCTTCTCCTTAGCAGTTCTTGGAAAATGGATGTGGAGTGCAAACTTTCCTTTTGAGAAAAAAATAATATGTTGTAGTTTAAGTTTTCTCATGTAAACTAAGGGAATAGTTCTGTGATATCCCTAAATTACGCTTAACTGAACTCTTGCTGCAGCCTGTTGATATACAAAAGAAGCTCTCATATACAGATTTATAACTAAATTTATAGAATTAATAACATTAAAGCTAAATTTGTGGTTCACTTGAATGGAGAATAGCAAAGACAGTGTGTAGGCTTGACCAGTTGGTGCATCCTATTTCTTACTGTTTCAGAGGAAAAGTCCCAGTGTCCTCAGTTTCTGTCAGAAGAGGCTCTGAACGAGACAAAAGACTACCTGTGTCTGAATTGTACAACTGCAGTCTGCATTTATCTCTGAGTGAGACACAGTGATAGACTAATGAATAAAGAATTCAACTTTCAGTAATATTGTTAAAGCATCACCATGTAGCCATTTTAGACATTAGAATTGTGATAGATGCATACAATGAAGGATTGGGTTTTTCTTTTTTATATTTGTCTGCTGCATATGAGTACTTAGAAAATATGTTGGTACAGAAATGGTGAGAAACATTGACCAAACTGTCATTTTAACTATGAGGTTTAGAAAGAGGAGGGGGATGGGTTTTGCTCAGAGGGGGCAAACAAAATCTATTAACAAATTCATCTGCCTATAAGCTAAAAATTTTTAGTCTTGTTTTATTTCCCATCTTGCAAACCATTATGTGTTTAAACTTTAGATGCTTGCAGCAAAATTCTTTTTATATACACACACACACAAGTGACTCATATGTGTATGAATCATATGTGTGTGTGAGAATGTAATATATTAATTGCACGAAAAGGTCTACCTTCGTTATTTTGGGATATTTGGGAGGAAAAGTAAAGCAGTGATCCTTTTAAAACAACAGTTCGGTGAATGGTTGTATCACAAGTAATTTTGTACAGAAGGAACATCTTTGTCTTTGTCTAATATTTCCTCTTCAGTCCTTAAACTTAACATCACTAATGCTAACTGGCATAAGTACTTGAACCCTTAATCAGAAGTACATTGCAAAAGATAACATGAATCATATTTATTTTAAGGTGTTGGAATGTTCATTCATCAACTGTTAGATTCATGCAATAAACTGTACTTTGAATGTAGGCTCTTATAACATCCTTGGTAAACTATGGGTTTTTCCAGTTTGTGTAGCAGCAAATTCATAACCAAAGTTAAAATTTGTCATTTAATGTAAAAGAAATAAAAGCAGAGAGAGAGATCACCAAAACCTCTATTTCCAATACTCTGGTGAAGAAATTTGCCTTTTAAGTAATGATGTGCTAACCATTAGTTATTTGCTAAGAGTGCTAAATGGTAGAAAAATCTGTTAAGTTATAAAATGCAAGTAATTTTACACACACTGAAAATACAGGAGAGAACCAGCTAGTAGAGACTGCAAATACTGGTTTTAAGTAGAGATGACTGGTTCTGTTGTTGAACCCCACAGCGTGTGTCCTGACCTACCCTTGCAAAGGACAGGTTATGTGTGTGGGGAGGAGGGAGGGATGGATGGACAAAGGGAAGCAGGGTTTCTGGCTAGAAGCCTGTTCTTGTTTAGATTTCAGTAACAGAAGGCCTGACCTCTTTCTGCTTTCTTGTTCTCTTTTCTGTGCAATTTCATGGTGGCTGACTGGCTTCATGATTAGTCTAAAATAAATTGGGAGTTGATTCTTACTCTCTTCTCGGCCCTCTAGCTAGATCACTGACTGTAAAGTTTTTAGAAGAATATCAGTTTTGACTTAGGAACTATATTCTCTGGTTAAGTTTATTTGCAAGAAATCACATGTAAGCACCAAGAAGTCCTAATGGAGGCACAGAAATACAGAGGAACACCTTTTAGAGGGTGGTCTTAGATTGGTTTCCTCTGGGTGACTGTTGTAGAAAGACAGTGTTAATTATTGTGATCTTGCTTGTGGGTTTGTTGGTTTCTTTCATTTTTTTGACTGGACTTAGATGGTTTGCATTTTTGAAAAACTAATTTCTTCTTTTGCATCTCTTTCAGTAATAGTTATGCACGAGTGCGAGCTGTGGTGATGACCCGGGATGACTCAAGTGGTGGATGGTTACCACTTGGAGGGGGTGGACTAAGCTGTGTCACAGTCTTCAAAGTCATTCCCCAGGAAGAGAATAGCTGTGCTGATTTTCTTATCCATGGAGAACGACTCAGGGATAAAACGGTAACAATCCACATCCATTTCATGATCATAACTACATGAACATACGCATAGATGCTTGCTTACTGTTGCCTGTAGACTAGGAAGTAAATTTAAAAGTCTTAGCCCAATACTGTTGCTGAGCTTTTCTATATTGGATTATATATACCTAAAGAGACAATTGTAGGTGTAATACCATGCACATTGATTCTGTAGAAGCTTTGCATATTTTTTTCATTACAGATTTCTATTCATTCGGGGAAACATTTTGCTATTAAGTTTTTTTTTCCAATGGAGGGTTAGAGTTAAATCTTGTTAACCTGTTTATATATCAGTGATACTGCATTTAATAGGAGTGTTGGAAATTACCTAAAGAGACAATTGTAGGTGTAATACCATGCACATTGATTCTGTAGAAGCTTTGCATATTTTTTTCATTACAGATTTCTATTCATTCGGGGAAACATTTTGCTATTAAGTTTTTTTTTCCAATGGAGGGTTAGAGTTAAATCTTGTTAACCTGTTTATATATCAGTGATACTGCATTTAATAGGAGTGTTGGAAATAA